GCAATGGTATATAAGACATCATACTTCTGCGACATTCACTTATTTCGATCATGAGACTTTTGGTGAGTGGTATTTCCTGGCATTAGATGAATAAAAGAGAAGACATTTCAAGGGAATAGTGAACGTTATTTATAATTATCTAACTAATGAGTGCGTTATCATAAATGTTCTCCAGATTGCTGCATTCGTTGCTGCAGCGTACGCTGCGCCACAAGGATATAGTCCTCCATCCTCGGGAGGTGGCTTCTCCGCGGGAGGAGGTGGAGGATTTTCCGGAGGAGGATTCTCTGGTGGTGGAGGATTCTCTGGTGGTGGAGGAACCTCTGGTAGTGCATTCTCCGGCACGGGAGGTGGAGGTGGTGGTGGAGGATCTGGATATGGAGGAGGATGCAATGCGGGAGAGGTTCTTCATGTTGACGGTTCCTGTGTCGTTCCCATAATCTCACGCAACGTATTTGTCTATGACGCTCCCGAACAGCAAGAAGAAAGCGGTCCACCGCCAAGTATTCCTCCACCAAGAATCGACCACAACATCCTATTTGTTCGCGTTCCTGAGAAGGGAGCAGAGCCTGAGCCAATCATCGTTCCTCCACCAAGGCAACAGAGCGTGGTGTACGTCCTGAACAAGGATGATGGAGGAGGAGGACAGCAAGTGATCGAAGTGACAGCTCCTCCACCATCCAACCCTGAGGTTTACTTCGTTAACTATGCTGAAGGAGATAACCCTCAACTGCCCATTGGAGTTGACCTTCAGACTGCTCTACAAGCGGCTGCCAACGGTGGAGGACAAGTCATCAGCGGAGTCGGAGGAGCAGGTGGATTTGGTGGCGGTTCTGGTGGTGGATTTGGCGGTGGTTCCGGCGGCGGATTTGGCGGAGGTTCCAGCGGCGGATTTGGCGGTGGTTCTGGTGGCGGATTTGGCAGTGGTTCTGGTGGCGGATTTGGCGGTGGTTCTGGTGGCGGATTTGGCGGGGGATCTGGTGGTCTTGGTGGAGGTTCTGGTGGTAATTATGGACCTCCACCTGCTCCCTCGAACACTTACTCAGGGCCTTGATCAAGGAACCACACACACACGTTTGTTATTATCATATCATATCATTTTCATTTTATAAAATATGTTATAGCATCATATTTGTTTACATTCTGAAATAAATGAGTATACTTCAAACTCGTATTACTTTTCCGCAGTACGGAATGTCAGAATATATTTTGATATTTTGGTTAAAACTTACTCTAGTTATTATGAATGGCTCTGTCTCTCGTATGGACTCTTTATCTGTATAACTATATCTATATCCATTTTTTAAAAATCTACCTTTCTATCTATTCACCGTTCTATATCTGTTTATCTAACAAGATATACACGTATTTATCAGCAAACAATAGTTAGTATTAAAGATAATGGATGTATAATATAAATGTAGGGACGTAGCGACAAATAAGATAGGTGGATAATTGTGTATGTATCCATATACATATACATTAGACATATACACTCATAAAAGTGTACGGATACATAGCACAGATGCAGGAGTTTGTTTCTTTGTTTATGGAAATATATAGGTAGTTATGTGGGTGAGTGTGTGTGTATTTGTATACTATTTGTATACGTTATTTCTTTAGTAACTTCTGTACATATCATATCAGTTATTACTCACGTGTTTACATTATATATATATATATATATATATATATATATATATATATATATATATGTGTGTGTGTGTGTGTGTGTGTGTGTGTGTGTGTGTGTGTGTGTGTGTGTGTGTGTGTGTGTGCACATTTATGTATATAGTTAGATAAAGAGATAGATTGCATTATTAGATTCAAAGAACTGTATCATACATAGAAGAGTGGACATTTAAACTTGATATATAAAGTAATTTATTGCAATAGATTATTGCAACCGTTAAGAAACATAACATATTGCGATTATAAGGGGCACTCAGTTACTCTGACATGCGACATTTTTATCCGAGATTTGTTCGACTAGTGTCATCCACGTGTTAATGGCAAAAAAAAAAAAAAAAAAAAAATAATAATAATAATAATAATAATAATAATAATAATAATAATAATAATAATAATAATAATAATAATAATAATAATAATAATAATAATAATAATAATAATAATAATAATAATAATAATAATAATAATAATAATAATAATAATAATAATAATAATAATAATAATAATAATAATAATAATAATAATAATAATAATAATAATAATAATAATAATAATAATAATAATAATAATAATAATAATAATAATAATAATAATAATAATAATAATAATAATAATAATAATAATAATAATAATAATAATAATAATAATAATAATAATAATAATAATAATAATAATAATAATAATAATAATAATAATAATAATAATAATAATAATAATAATAATAATAATAATAATAATAATAATAATAATAATAATAATAATAATAATAATAATAATAATAATAATAATAATAATAATAATAATAATAATAATAATAATAATAATAATAATAATAATAATAATAATAATAATAATAATAATAATAATAATAATAATAATAATAATAATAATAATAATAATAATAATAATAATAATAATAATAATAATAATAATAATAATAATAATAATAATAATAATAATAATAATAATAATAATAATAATAATAATAATAATAATAATAATAATAATAATAATAATAATAATAATAATAATAATAATAATAATAATAATAATAATAATAATAATAATAATAATAATAATAATAATAATAATAATAATAATAATAATAATAATAATAATAATAATAATAATAATAATAATAATAATAATAATAATAATAATAATAATAATAATAATAATAATAATAATAATAATAATAATAATAATAATAATAATAATAATAATAATAATAATAATAATAATAATAATAATAATAATAATAATAATAATAATAATAATAATAATAATAATAATAATAATAATAATAATAATAATAATAATAATAATAATAATAATAATAATAATAATAATAATAATAATAATAATAATAATAATAATAATAATAATAATAATAATAATAATAATAATAATAATAATAATAATAATAATAATAATAATAATAATAATAATAATAATAATAATAATAATAATAATAATAATAATAATAATAATAATAATAATAATAATAATAATAATAATAATAATAATAATAATAATAATAATAATAATAATAATAATAATAATAATAATAATAATAATAATAATAATAATAATAATAATAATAATAATAATAATAATAATAATAATAATAATAATAATAATAATAATAATAATAATAATAATAATAATAATAATAATAATAATAATAATAATAATAATAATAATAATAATAATAATAATAATAATAATAATAATAATAATAATAATAATAATAATAATAATAATAATAATAATAATAATAATAATAATAATAATAATAATAATAATAATAATAATAATAATAATAATAATAATAATAATAATAATAATAATAATAATAATAATAATAATAATAATAATAATAATAATAATAATAATAATAATAATAATAATAATAATAATAATAATAATAATAATAATAATTTAAAAAATGGGGAAAATGCTGTGCTCATTTATTATATTTTATGTGAAATGTCTCTGCACATAGATGGCTCTGCTATTGCTTAGCCACAAAAGAATAAATTAGTAGAACTTGTGACCTTACCTGATTCGAATTGCCTGTTAAAAATGTATCTTTTTACTAGTGCTATGAATATCGATGGTGTTATTTTTATAATAAACATTACAAGTACTATAATGTTATAAACATTAGTAATAGCAAAATATTAATCAAATCGTAAATCAAAGAAAAGGGTAAACGGGCGAGACAGGCAGTACTCGCAGTTAGCTCATTGGGGATTTAGTAGAATTGTAGCCATCTATGTGTAAAAACGATCAAACAAGTGAACTCACAGTGGGCATGGCATACACGTATACGTCATTCCCGTCGGCATTGGGTTAAAGCGAAATCATGAGGAAATTTCCTGGTAAACTAAAGAATCTTCTCCACCAACCTCAAAACCTGTTTATTACCTCATGAATTTCTATTTCCTCATTCTTTGTATTATTTTTAAAACCGATTTTAAACTGTGATATCATAGGCCTTGATTAAATATTCTGCCTTTTGAACATATCCACAAATGTATATAAAGAAACACTATGTAATGTAGACGGCGAGTGAACCCACATGACTTTTCTGTATTGGGTAAGGAAGGTAACCGGTCAAGATTTATAAAAGATAATAAGTATCTTGAACCAATGCCCCTCCCCCTTTACACAATTGGCAGGCTGTGGAGCAGACCCCCACATTGATATTTTGAAACACATACATACGTGTATGTGTGTGTGTGTGTGTGTGTGCACATTTATGTATATAGTTAGATAAAGAGATAGATTGCATTATTAGATTCAAAGAACTGTATCATACATAGAAGAGTGGACATTTAAACTTGATATATAAAGTAATTTATTGCAATAGATTATTGCAACTGTTAAGAAATATAACAACATATTACGATTATAAGGGGCACTCAGTTACTCTGACATGCGACATTTTTATCCGATATTTGTTCGACTAGTGTCATCCACGTGTTAATGGCAAAAAAAAAAAAAAAATAATAATAATAAAAAAAATAATAATAAATAATAATAATAATAATAATAAATAAATAGATCTCATTTGACAGTGGCACACTAGAATAAAGTTTCTTCAGAAGTGGAATGAGTTCTTGAAGTATTCACCACCAGCAATGAGGAAACGAGGACCCTCCTACTGACACCGATCGTCAAACTAGTGTCTTAAGGAATTTGCTGAGCAGGTTGGGATTTCAGGAAACATAAGGTCTGGTTATGCAAATGGTGGGGGATTTTTAGAAGTTCATGATGAATGTGACATTGGGGAGATGATCAAG